GCGCAGAGAGATGGGGTCTGGGGATCTGCTCGTGAATTTGAAGTTGCATTTTGTTCGCTACGTCTGATCTCAGTGGATGCCGTGCAGCGGCCGCGCCGCGGCGGCACATGCTGCGCGGACTGCTCGGAACGTGAAGCTCGAGGGCCGACCAGAACCTCGAGGAGAACCCAGCCCTGGCGACGAGCGGGCGGCATCGGCATCTTGTCTTCCAGGCCCATCGGGCCCCTGCGGCCTGCTGCGCGCGGCCGCGGGGCTGGGCCTCCCAAGTGGAGTCCGAGCAGATGGGGTCGGAGGATCGCGCCGCATCGCCGATGCATCGGCAACGTGGGCGATGCCTCTCGGGCCGGGCGAAAGGGGGGATAGCAAAGGGGGGGGGTTGAGAATCAGCTCACGTAGCTGATTTTCCCGGCGCCTCCCGGCGCCGGGAGGCGGCCATGTATCGAGGAATGGGCCCCTCGGTGAGGCCGAAACCAGCTGCATGCAGCAAATTTCGTAACCCCCCCTTTCCCAATCCCCCCCTTTCGCCCGGCCCGAGCCTCGGCGACGTCGGCGCGGACAGAATTGGGATCCACATCGAGCCGCATCGCGGATGCACCGGCGACGCGGCGCGATCCTCCGACCCCAGCTGCTCTGCCCCCATCTGGGAGGCCCAACTGGAGGAGCGCGCAGGCCCGAGCCCAGCGCGCCGGGCCGCCGCGCTGGCCCCGAGCAGCAGCAGCAGCAGCAGCAGCACGGCGAGAGCCGCGGCCGCGCGGCGGCCGGCGCGCGGGGCGCGCGGGGCGCGCGGGCGGGCGCGCACCCCGTGCGCCGCATGGGTGCCGCTCGCCCAGGAGGCCGGCGCCTCGACCAGCGCCTCCGCGCCGCGGCCAGCGGGGCCTCGCTCCGCCGGCGGGCCGCCCGCGGTGGGTGCGCACTCGCCTGCGCCCGCGGCGAACGCGCGCTGGCCTGCGGCCCGCGTGGGCGCCGAGGCGGCCGGTGCTGCCCCGCCCTCGCCCGGCTGCGCGGCGAGCTCCAGCAGCTGCGCGGTGGCGCTCCACTGCGCGGAGGCGCTGGCTCGTGTGCACTGCAGCGGCCCGACCGAGCCCTCATGGCCATCCGGTGCCTGCTTCTCCGGGTGCGCGAGCAGCTTCGCGGCGGGCTGCCCCGCCGCGGCGCCACGCGCCCTGGGCGTGGCGATCTGCTGCTCTTCCTCGGCCAAAGTTTCCACGCTGAGTCCAGCCAAGGGCCGCTCGCACAAGCCGGCCCGCTCCCGGCTGCGCTGGTGCGTGTCCTCCATGGCCCTCTCCCGCGCGGCGAGAAAGCTCAGGAGCCGATCGGCCTTTTCCTGGGGCAGGTGCTGAAGGATGTCCAGCATCATAGAAGAAGAAAGAGCAACATCTATATATATATATATATACTAGAACCATCGCGCGCGCTTCGCGCGCGCTCAGGTTCTGGTTGAGGTCACCGCTCAGGTGCGATGCCCGCGACGATTCTTACCACGAAGACGGCGGCGTGCACTCCGCTCATGTTCTCACGCCATGTTCCGGAGGAGCGTTCCCGGAGCATGGGGCGCCAAAGGCTGGAAGGTTTCTGGGGAAGCCTCTCACAAGCCCGTTGGGGCCCTCTTGGGGGTCTCCTGGGGGCTGCCTGGGAACCTCGGGGGGCCTCTTGGAAGCCTCTTGGGGGGCTGGAGGCCCTTTGGGGCCTGCCGCGGGCGTCTTGGGAGCCTCTTCGGGCCTCTTGGGGGTCTCTGAGGGGCCTCTTGGGGGCCTCCTGGGGCGGGGGCGCTGGAAGGTTTAGTTGGGTGTCCCGTTTTGGGCCCCTCTTGGGGCCCTTCGGGTACGCGTTTGGGCCGTCCTGGGCGCCTCTTGTACTGTCTTGGGCCCCTCTGGGGCCGTCTTAGGGCTCTCTTGTGGGCTTCGTGGGCCGTCTTGGGGCGGTCTAGGGAGAGTCGGAGGTCGTAGAGGACGGTACGAAGGCCAAAAAATCGAGTATAGTAGAAATGTGCGTTTTATTAAGGGAACGGGGGTATTTTTGCTTCCCAGGGCCGTCTGGGGGGATCTCTTCGAGGGGTCTTCGAGCGTGTTGGAGGCGTCTGGGGCGGTTCGAGACGCCTCTGGAGCCGCCGGAGACCGCTGGAGGTTGTCTTCAGGGTGGCGCTGGGCGGCCTGGGGCCGCCTGGACGGCCGTCTGGGCGCTCCCGGGGCCGACCTGGGGCCCGGCGGGGAGCGGGCTGGGCCCGACGTCCCCCCATATTTGTGGTGGGGGCTGCGGCCCCGGGGAGCGGGCTGGGCCCGACGTCCCCCCATTTGTGGTCGAGGCTGCGGCCCGGGGGCCCCCGGGCCCGGTGCGGCGATATGTGTGTGTGTGTATATATATATATATATATATATATATATATACTCATGGAGGCCCGCGCGGAATTCTTGGATCTGTCATCCCTTGCGCGCGGAGCGCGCTAGGGGCGGCGCCGGAGGCGCCGCCAGGAGGGCCCAGCGCAGATGCAGGAAATCCGCGCGGAGCTCCGAAAGGCTGTTTACGCCGCTTTTTCTTCTTCGGCATGAAGTAGTCGGGCTCCTCCTCCAGGTCAGCGTCAGAAAAGCCGCAAGTGCCCACCGAGAGCCCGCGGCCCCTCTCCTCGGCATCGAGGCGGTGGTGCTCAGGGGCGGGGCGGCTGGTCGCGCCCACGGTGCTGGCCATGGCGGCCGGCTGGGGAGGAACGTTACCTTCGCGCGCTTGGAGACAGGGCGGCTTAAAAACAAAAACTGCTACGGGGTGGCTTCGACCCTGCATCGGTCTACAGAGTTCACTTCTATAGTGCTCACTCATATAGGACTCATTTCTACAGCGCTCATTTCTATGTGTACATATAAACATATACATACAAGTGGCACGTGTGTAAACAGGCTCTTACAACCACCAAGAGAGGCCAAGAGGGAGAACACGGACCGAAAATCCCCGCCCCGAGAGGCCCCACAGATGCCCCCAAAAGCGCCTAAGCAGTCCAAAAGAGGCCCCAACTCAGCCTGAAGAGGCCCCCAAGAGGCCCAAAAGAGGCCCGAAAACGGCCCCCAAGACGCTTCCAACCTGCCTCCAAGAGGTTCAGCCACGCCAAAAAAATATCTCAGGACGCCCGAGAAGGAGGAGGACGAGGAGGAGGAGGAGGAGGAGGAGGAGGAGGAGGAGGAGGAGGAGGAGGAGGAGGAGGAGGAGGGGGGAGGAGCAGGAGGAGGAGGAGGAGGAGGAACAGAATTACCAGCCTGGAACATATCCCTATCCCAATGCTGGGCACCTCCTCATCACGATGCCAATCTTAGGGATTCTCTTATTTTTTGAGGGCGAATCCCTAAGATTGTCATCGCCTGTTGGCGTGTCAATCTTAAGGATAGGGATACGTTCGAGGCTGGGAACAGAAGGCAGCAGGAAAGGCACGCCAGAGAACACCAAGACACCTCCACCGACTCTGGCCGGGCCGATCCTGCGACGAGCGCGAGAGAAGAGAAGTCGAGACAGGATGCAGCCCCCGCCTGGTGAGGGGGCGAGGGAGGCTGCAAAGCGGACAGAAGCCGGGGGCACGACAGAAGGGACCGGAGCTCATCGAACAACTCAAGGTGGGCCGAGGACGGCTCTAAGAAGTGCGAGGTCTGCCAGACGACTCTGTCCGCCGGCCGATGGATCGATGAGTGGACGGCGGACGGCGACAGCGACCACGACGATCAGGCTCTCATAGAATGCTTCGCTTCCGCAAAGTTCTGATAGCAGAAGTAAGAGAAGGAGGAGGTGGAAGGGACGACGACAACCCAGACCTCCGACTTCATGCTTTTCCTCACGACCTGGACCCCCAGAGCTCGACCGTCATCCCAGTGATCGGCGTTTCGCGGCGGGTCGTGGAGCCAAGAAGACAGGCCCCAGAGATCGGAATAGCTGGAAAACGTCCATGTTTGTATTTTTTCGCGACGCCTGGAGGCCTGGGACGAGGACGACGACGGCGGCGGCGGGAAGGCTTCGCCCTCCAGTGGCAAGCAGGGGAGTCGTGCATCGTCAGCGCACCGAAGCCGCGTGTTCGCTGCCCGTGCGGGCGCTGCTCGGGTAATGCTCCACCCGCCGCCGCTGTCACGACCGCCCCACCGCCTGCCCCATCGGAACTCCTCCTCGTCCCTGCACGGTGACTCCGCACGAGATGAGCAGACGTGCGTAAAAATCTCCTCTCCCTCCCCAGATTCTGTGCAAGCGGGGCCCCTTTGCTCCCGCAGACTATCTACTGCCAAGCGTTGATGCTGTGGTTTGCTTCGGTCGGCACGTTTTTACTGCTTCAACATGGTGCTCCTGCTGCAGCGTTGACCTTATTTCAAGACCCGCACTTTCCACTCGTCGTTCAGAATGACGCTCTCGCCCCAGCACGGGCCGCACTTCTGGATCGGAATGTTTCCTCCTCATTGTCGCACCCTCCTTTGCCCTCCCCCGCCTTCCCCTGGTCATCCCGTTCCTCCCGCTTCTCCTTTTCCTACTGCTGTTGTCCCTCCTCCTCCTCCTCCTTCTCCTCCTCCTCCTCCTCCTCCTCCTCCTACTCCTCCTCCTACTCCTCCTCCTCCTCCTCCACCTCCTCCTCCTCTTCGTCCTCCTCCTCCCCAAGCCTCCGCCTCCTCCTCCGCCTCATTCCTCATTCCTCGTCCTCCTCCTCCTCTTCCCCATGGCCATCGTCTTGCACACCCACTACCTCTTCTCCCAAATGTACACAGGTCCCATCTCTGATTGCGCATTTGGGGCTCCAAATCTGCTATAACACCCGTCGGCGGATGGAGAAAAACCAGCGTTGCGGGAATGGATGGGTGAGAGGGGCAGGATGTCACATCTGGCGCGCGGCGCACACCTAGCTTTAGGTCGGGCATGTTCCTCTACAGGCGGATTTTTGAGGAAGAATCAGATAATAGTCAAAAATATTCAAAAATGGTCAAAAGTAACATCAAAAGTAATCAAAAAAATCGTCCCCATACTATTTTCTGACTATTTGTGAATATTCCCCCTGTAGACGGACATGCCCGAATTGACCGTAAGCCAAAGGAAGGCTCGGGCAGACTGGGAGGAGCAGGAGGGGCACGGGGAGTGCTACTTGCGCAGTACTTCGGTCCCCGCGTCCCTGTGCAGTCAAACCGAATCGGTCTGATCTGATCGGGGGTACTGCCGCCCATGGCGCAGGAGGAGGCAACCCATCATGCCTGCATCTGCTTGCGCATATATGCTCAAGAACTCGGTCTGGCCCGCTGCCGCGGGCACTCTGCCGGTCCCGACCTGCAGAACTCAGACTGCAAAAAAGCGCGCTGCATGGCCGCTGCCCTCCTCGGGGCCCGCTGCGTGGATCCAGATCCATCCAGGCCGCATGGTGCCGCGCTGCATCCCTCGCCTCGTGGCCACCGACGCGCCGCTTCTCTGCAATGCTGGCGGATGGCGCGCGCAGTTGCAGACCTGCCTCTGTGTCGCACGCAGAACTGAGGCTCAGACAGCGATGACACCGGTGTTGTTCTTCTTCTGGCACTGGTTGACTGGTCCGAGATTCACGCACGTCCAGCCATCGCAACAGGTCTGGAAGTCACACATCCCTGTCGAGCACTTCCCTAAATCATAGCACCAAGGCCCGCTGTCGTGGCCATAGTGGCAAGCCATCTGCTTGAAGTCGCTCCCATCCATGCAGCACTGGTTGTCATCCGCGCTGCAGTCGGAGCCCTCTGGCAGGCAGGTTGGACTCTCGAGCACCCACCAAGAGTCGTTCTGCAAATTGCTGTGAAACTGGCAAACATTTGCACCGTCTGTGACGCCTCCTCCTTGCACATTGAGCCATTTTGCACTATTCGCATTCTGAAGGCCCACAACTCTATCGCCTACAAATTGAATCATCCATTGACCTGGCATCGATGCATCCGATGACTGCTCAACGTTGGCCATGTCGTTGGTGCCAAAGGCAGTTAAACTCTTTCCGCTGTGAACATTCTTAATATGGTAAACTGCAGGGATGCCGAGCTGATTCACAGGGCCTTGGATAACGGTCTCCGTTGGCAAGCTAAGACGCCCATACTCAAAAACGTGACTGATTCGCCACTGCGAATGGGGCGATTGAGGGTTATTCCAAAGCTGAATGTTTGCACCTTCGTCCAGAGACCCTCCCAACACATTCAAATACTTTCCGCTCTTCACGTTTCTGATGTTGTAAACACCCTGTGGAAGATCGAAGACCGGCTGCGGGCGCACGGGTAGTGGCGGGTACGTGGGAGCGAATGTCCCCGCGGCAATGGCGGATGCGGACAGTGCGAGCGTGCAGGAAGCAAGCGGCGCCATGGCTATCGAAGGCTCTTGTAACTCCAACAACCTCTTGAGACACGGCTTGAGGCACAACGGCTACGGACACGTGGCATACAAGCGGAAAGCTGGCGGCGAGGGGGGGGCAAAACAATGATGAGGGAAGTGAGGAGGGAGGAATAGGAGGAGGAGGAAGAGGAGGAGGAGGAGGAGTAGAGGACAAAACGGCAAGGAAAGTTCACGTCTGGACATCGCAAATAGAGCGCAGCAGCACATCGTACGAGGCCCAGTGCGCCGAACGGGAGGCACGTATCAGGTATCTGTCGCTCTCGGCTCGTTCACCCGCGACGCTCCTGCAATGCCCAGCCATGAGGATGTCACTGCGTGCTTGTTGTTTTCGCGAAACTTTCGGTCAGTAAGGCGGGGAAGCCCCCTCCCTTTGCCTGGGAGACTTCCAACCAGCCCGCCAGGCCTACGCGTCGTGTTGTAATGTTACGAGGGGCGGGTCTCGCTGACATCATCCCTCCATCGTTGACGCCGACCATGCATTCCCCCCTCCCCACCTGCGCGGAAGAAGCAACGTGGTGCACGTACTTATCAAGTGCGCATGCTGCACAGGAGCATCTCGTCCTCCCCATCCCCAGCCCCCTCCTCTCCCTCCTCCTCTCCTTCCTCCTCCCAGTAGAGACCAGTAGAGACCAGAAACGATGAGCCATGCAGTGCACAACACATCACCTAGGCACAATCCCAGAAAACAATCAAAAAAACAGCGAGGATAACCCCCATCGCACTGGCCCGAGACACGATCGCATGAAGTCATCGGGAGCTTGCCAATCATCAGATATCGTCTTTCTTTTGACGTGAGGTTCGGCTAACACTTCTGCACCAGCTTAAGCGCCTTGCTGGCCCCGAAGTGCCCACATTTGGAGCACCAAACGACAGGGGCGTCGGAGCCTACGACCCAGGACACCATCAACGCCGTACTCAAAATCATCGGGCGGGCTCCTTCAGAACCCAGACTAGAATCTGGGGAGAGGCGCGGCATGGGTCTTCGTTACGGCTGACATCTGGAGCAGACGACAAGAGCACCACCAGCGACCCACGAGCCAACGAGGGACGGGTGGACTCATGGCAGGTCTACCCGAGCGATGCCTCACAGATCCGTGGTCAAGCTGACCAAAAAACAAAGCCCGATGGGGGAGACCGCAAGGCTAAGGACTTCTCTACTCCGACGAACAGCTCCTCACACATCTCCTGCGCAGCCAACCGCTCAGGGAGGACATAGGGGCACCCGCTGCGGCCCAAGCCCGTGAAGAGGAATGTAAGGCGAGAGCTGGCCTGGAAGGCCGCCTCTGCGATGTAGGACTTCGCTTGGCCGGCGAGCTCCCAAATGGCCTGGGGGACCGCTGCAGATCGAGCAGACCCATCGCAGATCCGGGTCCCTGCGCCGTTCAAAGGCAGCAGGGAATCGTCGCCCAAGTGCGTCGTCGCCGCGTCGGGACAGCGCAATGTCAGCGGTAGAGGGATCCCTCCCGGTGGCACTCGCGAGGCTGCGACCACGAAGAGGACGACCCGAGACACCTTGGCCTGCTCTCCGACAGGACCTCGAGACAAATTCTAACGCTGGCCGGCCGGCGAGCTCGAGGGGCCACATGGCCCCAGGAAACAACGGTGGGCGAATGCAAACCCAGAGGTCCGATGTCTTGATTTTATCAACACGGGGTCCCTGGAAGTCCCGACCCTTTCCCCAGGGCCGGTTTTTCGTCATGGGGCCAAGGGTCCCTGGAAGAACCGCCAGCGTGCAAGCGCAAGGCGAGGCTGCAAACACGAGGCGGCCGCCTGTTTGATGGTGCGGAGTGCTGATTGCTGCGGCGTGTTGCGTCTGCTTGACGCCTAGTGCTGGTGCTGATAATGTCTGCTTCCGCGACCTACTGTTTCTTGCCGCGGCTGCATAGTGCTGGAGACTGCCGCTGGCAACTGCTGGCTGTTTCTGCTTTCCTGCTTGCCTGCTTGCGTGCTGTCCTGCTTCCGTGGCTGCCAGCCTGCTGGCCCGACATCTTGCTTGCCTCCTGCATGTCTGCATGCTGACCTGCCGACCTGACTTCCTGTATGCTCGCGTCACTGCGTGTCCATCCTTCGCTGCCACCGATTGCCGATTGGCTTTGCTTGGTGTTGTGTGCTGCTACTCGATGTTGTGTTTTGTTTCTTGCTAGTGCTGCCGCCTGCTGTTGATTGATGCGGGCTGCTGCGTGCTGCGGTTCGGCGTCGATGCTCGCTGTTGCTTGGCGCTGGTTGTTGCTGATTGCCTCCTACTGTTTGCTGCGAGATGCTGCTCTGTGCTGGTGGTGTGAGCGCGTGCTGCTGCCTTGCTGCTGCTCGCTGCTGCTGCTTGCTGCTGCAGGATTATGCTGCCTGCTGGTGCCGATCGCTGATGTCGCCTGCTGCTGCTGGTTGCTGCTGATGCCTGCTAGTGCTGCTCGCCGAGCCGTCTGGCGCCGTCTCGGGGCTCTCCGAGCTCTGAGGCCGTCGTGGCGCCCTCTGGAGGCCCCCTCGGCCGTCGTGGGCCTCTCAGTCGCCGTCTGGGGCCGTCCTGGGGCTCTCACAGGGCAGCCCTGAGCCGTGCTGGGAGCTTCGTGGGGGCGCCCTGAAGCTCTCCTGGGGCCCTCCCGGGGCCTCCTGTGGGACGTCTTGGAGGCGCGTCGGGCCCACGCGGAGGCCACGCGACGCACAGCCAGATGCAAGGTGGAGACGAAAGGCTCGGGATGCGAAAAGCCTTGCAGGCCATCCTCAACGCCTCCTCTCCGAGGGTGTCCTTGGGCCTGTCCGGGAGTCTCGCGGCGCGACTCGGCGCCCGTGGAGGGCTCGGGCGCGGGCGCGCATGTGGGCTCCTCCTCCTCCTCTCTTCCTCCTCCTCCTCCTCCTCCTCCTCCTCCTCCTCCTCCTCCTCCTCCTCCTCAACATCCTACTCTCCTCCTCCTCCTCCTCCTCCTCCTCCTCCTCCTCCTCCTCCTCCTCCTCCTCCTCCTCCTCCTCCTCCTCCTCCTCCTCCTCCTCCTCCTCCTCCTGCCGAGGGCGGCCCGAGGCCGAGCGGAGGCGACCAGGGGCGCGTCCGCGCGCCCAGGCCCGGCGCCGCCGCCCGAGCGGAGCCGGGCCGAGGCAGCGCCGCCCAGGGTTTCCAGGCCCAGGAGAGCAGCGCACCCTCAGGTCGGACCTGTGCCCCCTACAGGCGGATCTTGTTCGGGCGTTGGCAGAACCGGGCTTGGTGGAACCTGGTTTCGTGGAACCTGGTGTAGTGATCTGTACCGGGGGCGCCCCCCCGTCCCCGTCCCATGTCCACGAACCGGAACTGCCGCCACCCGAAAAAGCACAAGCTGTGGCAAGCCTGGTGTAGTGATTCTGGCCAATTCGAAGGCTCCGGGGCCCTACCGCTAACCGGGTCCCCTTACCCGGGGTCCTGGCCATACCAGACTTTTATTCTAATCACCACATTGCCTAAACGACCAGTAACATGATTGTGCATCGCACAGCGGCAGGCGGAAGGACAGCGTTCAGTACAGATAGCAAGATGTAGCATATGCAGACTCGCGGATGCCTGCAGGCAACCAGTCATACGCAGACATAGTCCTGGAATTGGGCAGCTCGCAGAGCAAGGTGCCCACAAGATGTATCGGACCCTACAGGCCAAGATCGTGCCGCAGCCCCTACCGTGCCCTTGCATGGGACGCACAGGGACATACTAATACTATATGTCCTCCTTGGAGGCGCGCGTCCGACCCGAACATATAGTATACCCATCTTCTAGTAGATCGTTTCCCGAGCGGTGTGGCCAGAAAGCGCCCGCCACGACGCATATACTATAAGATTTCTCGGTGTGCGCGTCGCCCCTGGGGGGGCGACGCACATATAGTATACGTAAGTTGGGTTGACGCCGACTACAGGCGGATCTTGGACGAAACATGTGACATTAGGAAGCAACTGCTGGGAGGTCTTCGTCGGAAGGATCGAGGAGGAGCGAGCCCCGTTTGGGGAACTGTTGCGCCGGAGTGGGCCTCGGATGAAGCGGGGTTTAGCCGGATTGAGCGGGATTGGCGGGATGAAGACGGATTACGCAGGATCACGCCGAATTAAGCCGGATTCCGGACCAGGGCAAAATCAGAATTTGCCCTCCCAGGAGTTGCATCCGAATAAACATAGTCAAAAAAATATTCAAACATAGCCTTGGGTGGTCAAAACATCGTCCCCTGACTATGTTTTTACTGTTCCTCCTGTAGAGGGACAGGCCCGACTTAAGTGTACCCCTCGCGCGCGCGGGGATTGCCGATGACGTTGGGCTCCGATGTGACCTCACGCACGCCGCTGAGCAGCGACAGAGCTCGCTGCCACCGTCCGCCATTCTCGCACGAGACGGTCCCAGCGCAGCAGCTGATGTCATCAGGCTCCATCCTCGCCTCTTGCATCTTGCCGAGCAGCGACACTGCCCGTCACCACTGCCCACCTTTCCTACAGGCGCGGGCAGTCGCGAGACAGGGGCTTGAGCTGAGCTGCGCTCGTGACTGCCGCGCTTCGCGGAGCGATGGCACTGCTTCACTCCATCGTTCCGCCCAGGTGCGCATTTGAATGGCCGCTTAAAGGACGGCCCCACGCCTTGCGGAGATCCACGTCCGATGTCCAGCACCATCCGGGTCGGCTTAGACCACAGCGATGGCGGTGCGGGAGACTCGACAGGAGGAAGCGGCAAGGTCAGCAGCGCAAAGGAGGCGCCTTTGAGCTCAGAAAGCAGATGAGCAAGTACTTATAGCACGCCCTGTCTAGGTACAGGAGGAAAGAGATGGGAGAATGAGAATGAGATGCAGAGGGGGGACGGTAGAAGAACAAGTAGAAACAAATCACGGACGCGATGACGGCATGCGCTCGCCAGCCCCGTTGCCCAGGACGGCCTGACAAGGCCCCAAGACGGCCCCAAAGATGGCCCCAAGAGAGGCAAAAAGGAACTAGTGGAGCGTAAAACGACCCCAGATAGCCAGAAGATTGCCCGAGACGGCTCCAAGAGAGCCCCAAGGAGGCCCGGTCGCCAGGAGGACCCCCAAGACCAACACATGAA